ATATTAAAAAACCTTAGTAAGTTCACAAACCAGTTGAATCTTTAATTAAAAAATTTATCTATTAAAATCTTATTAATTACTTGATTAAAAAGAAAATGGAAATTATTTTCTCATTAACGTGACCACATCCATTTAATGTCTCTAATACACGATTATCTTTTAATGAAACAGCGACGTTTTAGTTTTTTAAAGCAAATCTGTGATTTTTTATTTTATTTTTATTGAAAATCATAATGCATTTTTATGTAAAATTTAAAGTTTTCTCACGATTAAAGAATTAATTTTTTTGTTTCAATAAATCTCTTTATTATTTAAATGCAACATAATAAGTCTTTTGTTAAATTAGGTTAATGTTATAATATAAAAAACTTAATATACAAGAATATTTAAATAAAAAAATATAATATTAAATGACATTCTTTTGAAACAATGTTTTATTAACCATTTATGTATAGAGTCAATATGATTTACATAGATTTCATGCAGATCTCCAAATGAAGAACAACTTATAACAATACCATTTTTAAAATAATTTCCAAATTCCAACTGACTAATAATCGCCTTTATTATTTCTCTCTTTAACAATGCCATTTAACACAATTCTTTTTAATGTCGTCATGTCATCAATTTCGGAAAAAGAAAAACATAAAGAACGTTAAAAAATATAAAAAAGAAAAAAACATTTTACGGCTTTACGCCCATCTTTTGTTTTCGATTCATATTTATAGTTATGAGCAAATTTATTACATTCCTACATACAAACAGTTTCGAATTCTCTCATTAATTTATAACGGTTTGTTAAATTATCATTAACTTTGTAATGAGTATTGATTGCATGTTTTTATTCTTTATTTCCGCCCCTTATTTTGTACTCTTAAGGTTTACATACAAATAAATGGCTGTCAGGTTTTTTCTTTTCATAGTTATTTTGATTTAATGTCAACATTAGAACTTTTTGGTCATAATTAATATACAAATATATGTATAGAGAAAATATGATTAGGCTTATGATCCACTCTTTAGATTTTTTGTTATAAACTGTTTTGTAATAGGCGTTCTAAAATATTTGAATATAAGTTTTTTGTTTTAACTAAATTCAGCCAACTAAGCCGTCTTCACTTTGCTGAAAGAAGTCTGTGTATTGCATACGTTCGCATTGTAAATTGTTTACCGCGTTTTAGTCGAAAGGTGTAGCATGTGCCTAGAATATATTTTATGAAAAAATGTACCAGAAGTAGAACGTTCACCTGGATAGCCATTAGGTCAGTGGGTCGGATTTGATTAAATGAAAAAAGATTTTTAATTTTTCTGCCTTGGCACTTGATCTTCTTTTTCTGAAGGTTTATGGAGGACACCTGTATTATCTTTCCCTGTGTCTAAAAATGTTGTTTTTGAATGATATTTACTTAACATATTCGAAATAGCGGCAAAATTCGAAATTATTCGCTCACAATATTAATGGAAAGAACATAAACCTGGTCAAGCAAGTTTTAAAATACTTATTGTTTATAAAGTTTAATCAGTCCATATAACGATTTCCTTCGTTCCCTATTTTCATTACTCTTAATCAGTCAGTCCCTATTTTTTTACTCTTAATTAAGATATCATTCAGTTTAGAATAAGTTGTTTAATCATAACTTTCTTATTATAGTCCCTCTTTTTTAATTTCTTTCCCTCTTGGCAGTTAGAAAGAGAATGTTCTCATGTTGTGAGAATATACAAAGAATATTACATTCAAAAATACCGTTACCAACTAGTTTATTGTAATAAATAAAAAATATTATAAAGGTTATGATTTTATGAACAAAAGGTACAATGGCGTGTAAGTAAATTGCACGAAAATTATAGACAATTGAATTTTTCAAAAAAAAAAAATAAGTTTGCACGATATTTATTCTTTTTGACATTTAAGAATTAGAATTTTTTTAAAAAAATTTGACCGTAAAAATTTTATGATAAAAAAAATTTTCTATTTTGAAAACTTTAAAATTCTATTTTCCAGCTTTTTACTCACATTATTACTCGTATTAATGGTTGTATAATTATGAAGACCACCAATTTTTTATAATATTCTATTACTAATTTTCATAATTAATTACAAACCTATTTTCTGCCAATTTAATTTTTTAATATTTTGTTCTCATTTCTTTCTTTCATAACGTTCTTATAACAATTACCATTTTTTATTATTTTTTAAGCATTTCTGTCTTCTTCCATATTATTACAATAATTTAAAAATACATAATTTTTCTACATCAACTTCCTCGGATCAATTACATAAGTTAACAAAAGCAACAAATTATAAACTTCTCATGTTAGTATGATTTCTGACCACATTAAACGCTTTAAGCGTTTCATTCACGTCATAAACAACAAAAATGCCAAAATTAATAAAATAAAAACAAAATATGTACAACACATAACAGTTTTTGACCAGTTTTTTTACCGTAAGCTAGTTTTAATTTAATTTAAAAACAAAAATGTGTGGTAAAACAGTAAAACTTCGGTATAATTGTCTTGTTTCTGAATTTCTAAGTGCAAACACAATTCAATATTTTTGATTATTTTCTTCTATAGTTCGCGTCTAATGTAATTCAAATTTTCTCAATGAATTTTTGTTTTTTTTTTTTGTACTGTTATATAATAATTACATTTCTTTTCTAAATTCTAATATTTTGCTTTTTAGAATTATTGGGTTTTAAAGTCTAGATCATCATCAAATATAGTATATGTCAATTTCACTGGCGCCAGAAAAATTACCATATATCAGTATGCAGAACAAAGTACTTATAATTTATTTTAAATAAAAATTATTGTATTATGTAATTGTTTTAAGCGCACAATAATATTTTTACCTAGCCATACTCTTCATTATATAAAACATTTATAAAAAAATTTGGATGAAAGAAACTGTAATAGGCATAAATAATAGATTACTTTAAAATAGATTACTTTTTACTTTGTTGTATAAAGGATGAATGGCAAATACTTCAAATTTAAATTTGTAGGTTGGTTTTCGCTCCTGTATAACAGAATACGTTTTTTGTATAACAGAAAACATCTCTTGTATAACAGAATAAAAAAAAAACACGTTCTATTTACGAAATACGAACTATTCGTTTCATGCCAATGGAACGCAATTAATGGAATAATGGAAAACTTCCAAGTTACAAAAATTTTATAATGGGAAATAACTCGACTGGACAATCAACTTAATATGAATTTAAAAAATAATAAAAATATTTGTCAAATTTTAAAACAAGTAAATGGGTGCAAGAACAAATTTGAGTTTCTTTAAAAACAAGACTTCACTGTAATCATGCATGTCATTCAGAAATTTCAGAAAAAAAAAAGTAGAATTAAAAAATAAAAATTAAAACAAATAATAACAAAATAAGAAAACAATTTTAAACTTTGTGGTGCTCATAATATGAAAGTCAATGTCCCCTGTAAACTGGTCGTTTTATTCTATTATTCGTTCACTTCACACTCACGAACTAAAAACACAAAACAAAAAAAGCAGAAAAAAAAATTGAAATGTGGGTCTTTTCACATTCTTTACGCTCTGCTTTTTTTTTTCTTTCTCATTTTTTTTTTAATTTTAAAGTTGGTGTCGATTGTTGAATAGCATGAATTTTACTGGCATGGCAATGATGATTAATATTTTAGTACCATTCTAATTTTAATATTTTTTTTTTATATTTTGGTTTCAGTTCCATATTTGGAAGAGAAAAAAATAAGATTCTTTTGAATTTATTAACACGTAGAATTTAAAATGTAAGCTGTATGTATGTATGTGTATAACTGGGGTACTTTATTTATGTTTCGAATCAGGTCAAAACCGCAAAATTTAAATAATAGAAATTGTAGAATAAAAAAAAGGTGTATCTTTCGTAACGATTATGAAAGATTTTAACCCAATTTCCTTTTTAATTCAGTTTTTGGTAGGTACGTTAGTGAACTTTGAAGATATTAGATTAAACTGTATAAAAAAAATTTGAATACATTTTATTTATTTGGTTATCATTAAGAAAAATTTAAGAACTGTTTAGGTTTCTTTGGAAACCTAAATTTATTTTAAATTAATTTTTTACCTCATTCTAAAGATGGAAATCTATAATTTGTATTTGAATATTTTGTTGGCTGGTGAACCATTTTGATTTTTTTCGGTACTGGACTATTTAAAGATCAATGATAATAGTAATTTCACTTGTTAAATTAACTGTTTACACGGCCAGTAAATTTGAGTTCTTCTAGAACAAAAAACTTTATACTTTGTTATCTTTTGGGGCAATATTTTGTAAAAAGTTTGCATAAATAGTAAATTCAAATATAATTTGTTTTACTAATTTATTATCGAATTTTAAAGATGATTTCTATATGACCATACTAACTGCGCAAGATTGAAAATTGAGGGTTTTCGAATAGAAAGGAAATCGGTTTATGCTTTGGGATGTCATATAGTTTACTGTGGCGACGCTATGGAAATTTTTAGAAAATGATAGCAACTAATGTTATGCTGTATCGAATTTGATTAGGTAGTCGTTTTTCTTATTCTGAGGGTTTAGCTCTAACTATTATATTGCTTCAATATTTTTTGAGATGACTTCACATTTTCTGTTATTGATGAAATGATTTACACCTTTGTTGGGGCAGTCTTTATCCTAGACATGTGAGAAAAGGAGGCGTTTTGTGTTTTCCGATATTTACAGTTTTTCTCCATTTATTTTATAAAATTGGATTTTTATAAAATAAAAAATTCTAAAAATTGTCATGGGTTCACCTTTCTCTGTACAATCATTTTTTTATTCTAACATTCGTCAACTCTAACAAAAATTAAATTTTTGAGTGTAAGAATTTAAAAACCAAAAATATCATTTAGTCTTTTTATGTCACAAAAGTAGAAATGTCTTCTATTTTTTAATAATTATTCAAATTTCAACTTGATCAAAACTTTTAATTAAAAAATTAATAAATATTTTCTTTTTATTTCATTTTAGATAAATCAAACATTGAAATTCAAAATGAATTGGAAATCAACGATATTATTTTTAGCAATTCTTTATTCACATTCAACATTTTTAGTAAACAGTGTTCGTATTCCACCTAGATTTTCAAGAAATTCAAAATCAACAGTATCGAATACGACAGAAACAGTTCGAACAACAACTACAGCAACAACAAATGGTAATCAAAGTTCAGATAATGAAGAAAAATTAGATGAAACTTTTAAAAAAATTATGAAAACGACAACTGAGTCAATTATAGAAACGACATTGAATCCAACACATAAAATTCAACCAACTGTTTTACCATATTCAAATCGCAGGTATTTAGAACTTAATTTAGATAATTCTAATAATACATTCTTAAATCTATTTAAAACATTAGAATCTACTACTTCTAATTCTATTAATTTAACTTCTGTTACGGAAGATAGTGTTGATCCATTATTTAATGAATATAAAAAATCAAGTAATCATATTGTAAATGAATTCTTTAAGAAAAGCGTACACTATTTACTGAACGATCGTTCTACAAATTCGAAAATATTAAATTTTGCCTCTAATCTAACAGAACCATTGTCATCATCAGATGAAGTGGAACAAAAACAATCCGATTCATTTCTATATAATATTTATCCAAAAAATTCATTGAATTATAAATTTTCACATTTCCCACAATCAATGCAGCAGCAACCAATTAAAGTCGAAAGCACACAAATAATTCCAGATTTTCAAAATGCAGGTGACATAATTAGTCATCAAACATTGCATTATTATATACCAGTAACACCAGTAATACAACAACAAATTCAGAAATTACAAAATCCAACTGTTGTTCCAACTCAACAATTTCTTCAAGTTCTACCTGCCGTTTTACCAAATCAAACTCCACCTGATCCATTTCAGCAACAAATGTTTAATAGCTTTTCAGATCAATTTATAAAACCTACAACATCACCTACACCCACAATTATTATAACATCACGACCTCACAAAAAGGATCCGCCAGATATTTATATGAGTCAAAATTCTAATGGTAGTCAACCTTATGCCGAAGTTCGTCCAACGTTTCCCAGTTTTGTAGAGGAATCACAGCAAATTGTTGTATTAAATCAGAATAATCTATCCACATGGAATTCTTCAGGACAAATTTCATCAAACTTAAATAATTTGGAACAAGATATGGAACTTTTGTTTTCTAATCAAAAAAGGAAAAGAAAAAAACCACAACCAGAACATTTATCATTCCAAGATCCTTCTGATCCAGATCCTGTCTTTTCAGAAGAGACAGAAACTGGAAACCAATATGGTAGTACAACTGAAGATCCATACATTCAATCAAATGTAAAATCAGAGGCAATCGCTCCACCAAATAATAAATGCCCTGATGTTAAAGTAACAGTTGATCAGGTTACTTTAAATTTGCATTCAAATCTTGGACCTTGCGGGAAAGTTGATGTTAATCTGAATAAAGAAACAGATCCAGCAGATGATCCCAACAAAACTGCAAAAGATAAAAAGAAGAACAAAGATAAAACTCAGCAAGCAGCACTTCTGGAGTCACAAGCCGTAGTAGCCGAACAATCCCCGCTTTTCATATCACCTGCAGTAGCAGGTGGTGCTGCCGGAACAGCCATATTGAGTGGTGCTGCTGTTGCGGCTCCAGTTGCATCTGTAGCCGCAGCAAGTGCAGCAGGTGCTGCTGGTGGCGCTCTTGGTGGCGGGCTGGGAGCTGGTCTCGGTTCAGGGCTTGGAAACGGACTGGGTGCAGGGCTTGGGGCAGGGCTTGGTGCTGGGCTGGGTGGAGGATTAGGTGCTGGAATTGGTGCCGGTTTGGGTGGAGGTCTCGCAGCAGGACTTGTTGGTGCAGGGCTTGGAGGAGCTGGTGCCCTTGGGGCTGGTGCTCTTGGAGCTGGTGGCTTAGGCAGTGCCATTGCTGGAAGCGGTGGACTTGGAGGAGCGGGGTTGGGAATAGGAGGGGGAGGATTGGGCGGAGGGGGCCTTGGGGCGATTGGTGGTGCAGGAGTTGGTGGAGGAGGACTTGGGAGTGCGGGAATAGGTGCAGGTGGCCTCGGTATTGGAGGAGGTCTTGGTGGAGGAGGTTTGGGCGGAGGTGGGCTTGGTGGGGCCGGTTTGGGAGGAGGTGGGCTTGGTGGGGCAGGTTTGGGAGGAGGTGGGCTCGGTGGGGCAGGTTTGGGTGGAGGTGGACTTGGTGCAGCTGCAGCAATTGTCGATCCTGCAAGTTCATTATCGGTAGCTACCCCAATTACCGCTGGAGGGGGAAATCTGATATCACCATTTGGTGGTCTAGCTACTGGTGGTGGGGGAGGAGGAGGTGGCGGAGGCTTCGTGGGTGGAGGAGGTGGAGGACTTGGTGGTGGAGGTGGCCATCATGGTGCCCAGTCACAGACTATTGCAATCATTGAAGATCCGCATGGTATTCTTCTTGGAGCACATGGTATTGGTGCTGGGGGAGGCGGAGGTGGTGGTGGAGGAGGTGGTCACCATAAACGTAAAAAGAAAAAACTTCAAAATAGTTTTTATACTGGCATGCAGATGGTTGCATTGGTATTTATGAAATTTTTTGGTTTAGTATCAATAATTAATCCCTTTACATTTAGCTTCTGGGTGATGATGTTATCACCTCTTGGAATTTTATTAGCTAAAAGTGCAATGCTTGCAATGATTGTTTACCCATTGGCAGCGTTTGTGATTGGTGATGCGGCTAAAACACCTAAAAGGTCACCTGGTTCCACAATTGTAGTTCATCGACACAGATATTTGAAACCAAAAAAAATTCATAAACATCATCCAACAAAAGTTGTTCATGTACATTTACCCAATAAGCCTACTCATCCAAATTCATATCATCATCCACACAAACATTATCCCAAAGAACAACATAATTCATATCATTATAATCCACCACAATTTCAACCACACAAATATGAGGAACATCATTACCATCATCATCATCATCATCAAGAACCCGTAACAACTTATCAGCAATCATATGAACTTCAAACTCCCAATAGTTATGTAAAACATGGTGTTTGGACACCATCTCATCATAGTCATACTTCAAACCATCATCATCTAAAAAAACCTTTTAATCATGAAATTGTTACACCAAAATATATTACAACGACTTATAAAACTCCAAGTTCATATTATCATTCTTCATCAATAGAAACACATAAACCAGAATATCATAGTATTCCTATTTCTTATTATAGTTCACAAAGTATAGAAAATCATAAACCAAAATACCATCATAGTTTTTCAAATATAAATTCTGGTATAACTAGTAGTCATCATCCTGTATCAGAAGAATTATCACAACAACAATCTTATGAATGGTCACAACCAGAAATTTATGTTTCTGATCCAATTAGAATTGAAACATCAGATTTTCCATATCGAAGAAATGATAATACGAGTGACGTTGATAATAAAAAAACAAAAAATAAAGTTATTATACGGCCGATTAAAGGAATAGCTCAGAAGCCCATTTTAGTTCCACAGCCACAGTTAACACTTAAGCCAAAACCTACAATTTTACCAATAGTATTAAAAAATTATAGTAGAGTTCGAAAAGTAAATTCTTCTAGTGGTCGAAATAATCAATTGAAATTGAAACGAACTAGAGAACCGCGTTCCATTTCATCTGAGCAAATGGAATATTTAGAGAAAATAGAACAATTTTATAAAAAATCTTTAGAAAAATTTTCAAATAATTTAAAATTATAAAAAATATTTTTTTTTTTTACTTTTGACCAAAGATAATTAGTTTGAAAGCAATGCATTTATTAAAATGACTGAAATTTTTTTTTCGCAGTGTATGCACAATAAGAAAAAAATTTATTAGGTAGTTAAGAAACTTATACAATTCTCTAAATATTCCATGTTAGAATATCGATATTAAATACTTCATATTTTTGAAATCAAAATTAAATTTCAAGGGGCAATTTCAACTGAAGCAAAGCAGTTTTCAATATTAAGAAGAAGAAAAATTCGGAATTGAAGTTTAAATTTTTACAATAATGCCTTTAATTTTTATGTGTTAAAAAAATGCCACTACGTAAAGTTGCCATATTAACAAAAATTTCTTTATGCAATTTTTAATATAATTTTCAGTATTAAATTTTATTTTTAAAAATTAAATTTTGGATCAGATCACTATCTCGTCATTTATTTTAATATTTAAGTTATGTATTACTTTCTATATGCTAAATTAAAAATTCTCTATAAATAATAGTTTCAATAATTTTCATTATCTATATATAGCTATTATCTTTGTTAATCCATTCCTATAATTATAAACCTTATATTCTATCTAAAATTTAATAAAAAATTGTAATAATAACTGTAATTAAAAATAAAATGTACAAAATTAATTAAATTATTTAAAGACGCTTGTCTCTAAACCTAAAATTATTATTAATTTTTTTATATAGTATTTTAACAATGTAATTTATATTATTATTTATAAAATTATTTCTAAATTAAAAACAAAAAAATTAACTTTAAATTTAAGTCTATTTATAAATTAAAAGCTTATATGAAAATAACTTTAAAATGTAAAATAAATTTATTTTTTATCTCTATACTTTTATTTTACTCTATAAAGAAAATTTTGTAATATTCTATAACTATTTGGTAATACTCTATAGTCTATAACTATATATGAAATTCTTTAAAATTCTCTATATGTATTTGTAAATGTTAAACTATTTCATATGTCTTTATTCTTTAATTTCAAAAATGAAAATTGCTTTTGGCTTTCAATACTCGAACTATTCAAAATAAAAAAAATAAAAAAAATTATATTCTATTTTTTATCTTAATTATTCTAGCTGCTATGTAAAATTCTCTATTTTATTTATTAAACTAAATGTAATAATCTTAAATATTAAATAATAATGAATAGTAATTTGTAAATTAAAATATTATATATAAAACAAATGTAATTTCTAAAAACTATGATAACATTTTTATAAAAAAATATTTACAATCGTACAATTACTGGAATGAAATAATATTAAATTCAAAATATTGTTATTATTCATCATAGTGCCTGACATCGTAATTGCATATGTGACGTCGTAAATACAATGTGTCATAATCTTAACTGTGAACCAAAAAAAATTTGACACTATCATGTATGATCGTAATACAATTGACAATAAAATATTTGTATTGCATTTTTCTGACATGAGTTGGAATTTTGTGTGTTCAAAAATCTCTCGATTGTAGATTTTATAACCATTTTTTTTTGGACTATATGTCAGGCTGATTTAAATCACAGCTAATAAGTAAATATATACAATCGATTTTTACATTAAATTTTAGTATTTCTTAATTGAATTAATTAAATAATTCGTAATATTTTGTGAATTTAGTATTATTTCATGCAATAAATAAATTTAATTAGCTTACATTAAATGTTTGTAATTTAGAAGTGAAACACTAAATAATTAACGTTTAAAATAATGTAACTGTAAAATTATCTAAATATAAATAATTTATATTTCATAAAATAGTCTTAAAAAGTGTACATATATATAAAATTAAAACGCTTTCCTCTCTTAATGAAAACATTCTCTTTTCTAATTCAAAATTAAGACTTACCTTCTAAACAAAAATTTAATTTACTCTTTAAATAATTCGGAATTATAAATACTTACTCTTTTACTTCTAAAACTAGAATAACATTATTAATTTTATTATTAATAAATATAATAATAATAAAAAAAAACAAAATTTCTTTTTGTACAAAAGCTTCTTTTAATATTTAACAAGACTTTTACATACCTGTATTTATTTTGTATAATAAATTTATTGTTATTTAACCAAAGTTCAAAACTAAAAATTATAGAAATAATTAAAATAAATTTTTTTTTTTAGTTTTAATAAAATAAAATAATTAAAAATAAAAAATTCAAATATAAGAAATAAATAACATTGTAGTTTTAATTATCCACGTAAAAATATTTTTTTAGATTAAAGATTTCAGAAAAACTGTTATAAACTGTAAGTTTTTATAATATTTACTAAATTAAGCACATATAATATTCCCTAATTTCAAAAATGCAGTAATACCGTATTGTTATACATTTCAATAATTACAACTTAAGAGTGAATTGTGAATTAGTTACGTATTATTGCAATTTTGAATTCAGAGTATTTTTACATTCGATAATGTCAAAACAATTGTAATTTATTCCATATCACAATTATTACGTAAGTATGTGCTGTCATATAAATTACTGTAACGATAAGAAAAATAATTTAACATATATTTTGACATTTGTCAAATTTACATAATAATTTGACGATATAGAGTAAATTGACAATATCGAAGTTAAAATATTTTTCTAAAATTTTTAATAATAATGTGAAATAAATTGCATGTTTTACATTAAAAAAACACACATTTGTATTATAAATCATGAACGTAATAAATTAAAAACTTCATTAAAGAATGTAAGTAGCTCTAAGATTTTATATTCATTTGTAAAATTAATTCACTTCTTCAACAATTTTAAAAACTATTGAATTTAATAAACCATATTAAAACTGCTATTCTTTTCATCCCTTATATTTTCACTAAATTCTTATACTTATTTTTTTAACATCGAATATAAAGCATCACATTAAAACTCTTATTTTCAGTTGCCCCAATATCTTTACAAATATACGTGTAGACATTTTTCTATTTATGATATATTAATTTTCATTTTTATTTACATATTTTTTTTTTCTTTTAGAGCTTATTCAAATCCTCACATTTTACATAAAAGTTTGAATAAAGTTAATCAAACGTCAGCCGTAAAACCTTCACCAAAGAATATTGGTTCAACAAAATTAAATTCAAATACTGATGATTATGATACACTTCATATGGGTGTTGCTGTACCACTTACACAAGAAGATTTAGAACGTGAAATTGCTAGTAATATACCAGCGGCAACAAATGTTCATAGTAAATTAATTGAAACTTCAACACCAAAGGGAAGTCTTTCAACATGGATACTCTTAAATCAAAATGAACAGAATGATAAACGTATGACACCAACTCCAATACCATTACATAAAGAGGCAAAAGTTGAAAAAATACAAAAACCAAAAATATCAACAACAATGAAACCAAAATATAAACCATCTTCATCAAATGGATCTGTAAAGCCATCACAGAAACCAAATGCAAAAGTAACTAAAATACCATCACTATTGGAAGAAAATAATAAAAAAGTAAAAATTCCAAATGAAAAACTTACTGCAGCACCTACTGCAAGACCTACTAAGCAAACAACTGTAAAAACAATTGGTGAAACTTTAGCAAAGAAGATAGTTAAAAAAGCATCGGCAACAATGGCTCCAACAGTAAAAACACCAAAAACTAAAGCCACAACTACAACCACGACTACAACAGAACCACCATCGAGTAGTACAGAATTAATAGAAACAACACCAGAACCACCGGTTGAAGTTTCATCCACCACTGTTGAATCCACAACATTTTTAATTATGGAACCAAAAGATGCTGATTTCGATTTACCAGCTGATCGATCGCCTGGAACTACTAAAAAACCTAAAAAAAATAAATCTAAAAAGAATAAAAATAAAAATGAACTGTCAAAAAAACCATCTAAATTATCATCAACTACAAATAAAGAGAAGCCACTTGCAACAAAAATTTACAATTATTTGGCACGGGAAGTAATGCCAACAGTTGGAATGGGACTTGTAGGTTTAACTGTTGCTGCTGGTTTAGCAACATATTTCTTAGCGCCATTTGGTGCTCTTCGTCGTTCTTATGAAATCACTGACCGAAAAGATGAATTACCACCATTTCCAAATGATGAATATGCTCCGAAAGAAGGTGCTACAGAAGAAGAAAATTATAGTCAAATTGTCGCTCCGAATTCACCTTACAGGAATAGTATACGTTATACTTTACGTCAACCAGGACCTAATTTAGGACCAAGACCAATGGGAAAATTTGTACAAGGTCCAGTTCCACCAGCTCAATATAGAATTCGTAATGTTGCTCCACCCAATTATCCAGCTATTTCTCAACCACAATATAATGGTTATGGTCCAAATCCATTACAAAGAAGAGATCAATATCCTCAACAGTTCTATAGATATACGAATGATCCACAAGATATGTACAGACAAAGCACATATTTACAAGCATATCAAGAACAACAACTTGAAAAAGAGAAACTATTGCAGGAACAATTATTATTACAGCAGCAACAGCAACAGCAGCAACAACAACAGCAACAACAACAGCAACAACAACAGCAGCAACAACAGCAACAACAAACACAGCAAGCTCAACAGGACAGCGCAGGTGATCAATTAGATAATATGCCGGATGACCAACATAATATGATGGATCAGCATATAGAACAGACAGTTGGTGATTCATATTTTCCAGAAGGAGATACACATTATTATGAAAATCATCAACCTAGTTACTCAGATATTCGACAATCATTTATAGAAAAGAATGTTCAACCCGGTATGGTATTCTCTGAAAATCCATACCAAGATTTACAATCAACTTCAATGCAAATTAATAGTAATGATAAGTCATCCGAACCAGAGAAATCATTTCAAACTGAAAGTAATAGCTTACCAATGATTGTTACACCAGAACCGAACATAGCCGACAATATTATGATAACAAATGAAAATATGCCAGAAGATAATATTCTTCGAAGACGTTCACAATTTATTGTTGGATCAATTCAAACTTCAACAGCAGAAAATGATCAAGCAACTTCTAAGGAAATAACTGTTGAAGCAGTACCAGAACATGGACCCCGTCGTCGTCGTAGAAAGCGTGATGTATATTATCAACGTGATACAAGTGAAAATGAAATCGATACAGAATTTAATACAAATCAAATGGGTTCTCAATCTATGAATGTATATAAACCAGAAAATTCTAATATTGTTATAAATACAACACCTAAATATCCTTCAATTAAGACAACAGTTCGTCCTTATCGGCCAATAACAACAAATATTAATAATACAAATACATTTTCAAATATGTTTAATATTTTCTTAAGAGATGCAACACGTGCTGTTCAAACAACAATTTCAGAAATTTCTGCTGTTATACCAAAATATTTGAGAGCTTTTGAACGTCTCATTAACGAATTGAGAATTATTAGTAATCATGCAATTCATAATAATAATAACAAAAATAACAGTTACACAAACAACGTAAATTTAGATAAAAATCCATCACAAAATTCACCAGCAACATCAAATTCACAAACAAATCAACATTAAGATTTTATTTATTAAAAATATTAAAAGGAGGATTTTTGTTCTCTTCCAAAATGCATACACAACATTTTTTTTTTTTTTCAAATATTGGAAATTCATTTTAAAATTAATTTTTCCTCACAATTATTTAAGTACATTTAAATGCATTTTATAAGAAAAACATTCTATAGGCAATTTTATAAATTTAATATTTAATTGAAAAAAAAAAAACAAAAAAAAAACACAGGAAAAAAAAAGTTATGAATATCAGAACTTGCTCCTCTTTCTTTATCATCTAGAAAAAAAAATTGGAAAATTTCAATGGGATTTTAAAATTGCTGCAGATATTCTGTACACACATTTTTTTTTCAATAGATAATTGAGAGTTGGATCAATTACTGATTACATAAAAATCACCATTTTGCATTTTTATTTTATTTTTAGTTTCATGAAATTTGGTTGTTCTACCACTACCGTCATCAATTCATCTTTATGAGATTTAAGTCTACACTATAATGGGATTATTTTAATTTTTATATTTTACTTGCATTTTAAGATTTTTTAATTTTAAATTTTTGCAAATTGTATTTATTTATATTTGATATATTAATAATTTTTAGATTGTATATATATAAAATATTTAATAAAGTAAAAAATAAAAATAATTAAAAACATAATAAAAACCATTTTTTATTTTTAAATAATTTTTACTCTCAAAATAAAAATTTAATTACTGTTATACAAGTTTATACATTTTGTTAATCAGACTGTTATACAAGTTTATAAATTTTGTTAAACAGACTGTTATACAAGTTTATACAACGTACATCAAAAGTTTGATACTTACTGAAAATTTTTTCTACAAAAAATTTGCATACTTTCAGGAGAACTGATTTGAATCAGAGCAGGTGATGGGATTAGGAAAAAAAAACTAGCATAATTTTAGAATACATTAAAAATTTTGTTATCGTCTAAATTCTAAAATGTCTAAAATATTAAAAATGTAAAAAATGTAGGTTTAAAATAAATTTAAATAAAATAATTAACAAAAATTTGAAGATTCAATATTCTTTTTCAATTTTTATAAAAAAGACAGAATTCGAGACTCGAAATTTATTTTTAACAATTAGAAAATATTATTGCATACGACAATTAGTAGAATAATTACTTTTTTGTTAAAGAATCATTAAAAATTCTTCAAAATATTTAAGATAAGTAATAAAATTAAATATTGCATTAATTTAGAAAAATTATTAGCGAACTTTTTTTTCGGTTTTCAGTAAATTTGCTATTGGAAAAGTGGGTTAATTTTGCATAAGCTTTGGATGCTTATTCAACAAATTTTGAAAATTGGTTTATGATGTCATTAATGTACTAAACTGCTCAATGTATTTATTTATATCAAAACAGTTTTGGAGAATTCAAGACATATTCCTAAGTAAATTGGTTATCATTAATAATAGGTCTAGAATTCGAAATATGAATTGAGTTTCATTTTTAAAATTCGTGCAATGCCTTTTTTGAACTCAGAAGCAAATTTCTGTTGTGAAGTATTCTAGTAAAAAGTGATATAAAACATTGGAAAAGTCTTGTTCATGGAATGCTGTACAAATCCAGGGAAACTCAGGTTAAGTGCCCACAAATAAAAATAAAAATAATTTTGTATTTTTTTTTTTTACTTTTCATATATTTTTGAAACATTTTCAAACATTACATTAAATTTATTTATTTAATTTTTTTTTAATATTTTGTTTCACAAATAAATTAATAATAAATTATTTACAAAGTTTTTTTGTTTACACTTATTCAAATATACATACAATTATACAAATATATAATATTATATAAAAATATTATCGTATTCAAATTACAATAAAATCTTGTATAAAGGGGCAGAATAAAAGAATGAAAATTTAGACATTGGTAAAACTCAAGCAATTTTAAGTAATAAATTTCTTTAATTTAATTTGTAGTTCAAAATTAGTTAAACTGACTTTATAAAATGAATTTATCACCAGTTAGAGTTTACTATTTTGACATAACATGTTAGTTGCATTACCTAAAATGACAGTAGCTCTGATTACAAAATTACAATCCCCTCTATTATGTATATCGGTATCGGCCGATAAACGATAATTTATCGGCAAAATTTTGTGTTTGTATTACCAACATTGTTTATCGGTAAATTTTATCGGAGTCGGGAAAGCTTTTTTTCCTGTATAGGAAACATATTAGCTGGTATTATGAAAACGATAAATTGTCGGATTTTCACCGATTTAAAAGCGGGTACAAATTTTTAGACGACAGATTTTTTTTTTTGTAAAATCTTCATTTTATCAAGGAAACTGGTGTAATTAATTGCTTTTTTAAAATGTAAGCATTTTTTCTAAATTATTTTCTTTCAAAATGTTATTCATATATTTTATTTAGGAGTAAAATCGTAAGCAACAAAAAACAAATTGCGCGGTTAGTAGAAAAAATGGAAGAGGACTTAAACCTGGCAAGGAATGATAATCTGAAATTCTGGATAAACCTAAAAAATGTGTACATATTATATAAATAATAAAATAAAATAGGTACATAAACATACATTTTGTTGTCTAAATCCAATGGATTAGTTGAATCTCTTATATGTCGTCTTTGAATAGCTTGCGTTTCTTCACTTACTACCGTTTCTTCACTTTCAAAATATAATGCACGCGACATTTTCCCGATATATGTATATTTTTATTTTACAAATTTAACAGAAAATAATTTGCTTACAACAACTTTTTAGCACATCAAAACCAAATTCAAAATAGTTTTAAAAATTTTTTGAAAATAACTTTTGAAAGAAAACAAATGTCATTAGAAAAAAAAAACTTTTTCTCCAATTTACAAAAACAAAAATTTGTATGAAAAAGCTTCTTTTAATCGGTTGAAATATTTTTATCGGTATCGGTTCATAATACAGAAGAAACTTAAAACCGATTAGAACTGCCGATAAAATATCGGCCGATACCGATGTTCATAATAGAGGGGAATAATACGAGATTGATACAAAATTCAGCATTTATGATTTAAAAACTGAATTGCGTGTTTATACATAGCATTTATTGTAATTTTTAAGTCAGAGTTTGTTTAAAATTCAAAATTGTATAACTGGATATGGACTCAATTTGACAATTGTTCTACATTTCAGTAAACGACTTTATTATAAATGCTCCTTTTGTTCAGATTTTAAAGTTATTTGCTTTCTAAGAAATACTAAAATAATTCTTTTAAAATAAATGGTATTCAATATAAAATTTTAAACCAGTGAAGAACAACGTTAGTAAATTTAATTTTTTGTTTTTCATACAATTGAAATAAAATCCAAAATAGTACGAGAATAATTAAAAAATTATATTTTAAATTGAATTTTTTCAAATTATTGAAATTATTATCAAAGATAATAGGACCTATTTAGAGAAGTAACTTATTAGGGCTTATTTCAAGAATCGAATCACTTGGACTTCTATTCTGAGTATCGAATCACTAAGTGATAGTGATATTTATCGTAAAAATTTAGATTATTATTATTGTAAACACAAACCAATTTATACAATAGTTTTGTGTGTCTATAATAAAGTTTTTCAAATTTTAACCATAAAATATCGCTAAAAATTCAGCGATTCCTTTTTCAGAATAAGGTTACAATTTTTGTATAGATTTGTGGATCTTATTTCAATATGGACTATATTCACATTAATACATAAATATTATATAATATTTCTATAATTATATTAATTTCTTTTATATCTCATTTTCTTTTCTTAATTCTATAAATTTTAAATAAATTATCTAACATATTATATAATTATTAATACTTAAATTATTATAATATAAATTCTTAAAAAATATAAAAATTATAAAATAATGACAATAAGAAAAAAGTAAAGAGAAAACAAATACCCTGCACGATTTCAAAATTACAATAATACGCTATTAATAGGCAATTCAGCTTATATTTTATAATTGCTGAATTGTGTAATAACACAGTTTTATCGTAATTTTGAAGTCACGGATATTTTGCAATTATAAATACATGTATATCAGTATGTTCCTACATTGTATATTAAATATACATTTTAAAAAACAAACATAATCTATAACTCTAATATCTTCTAAATATTTGATTTTTATTGCAAATAAATGATGAACAGTCCCTTCTCATAATGGCATCTGTAACTTCTGTTAGATGACTTGATAAGCTTTCCCTGAGCGATGGATGAAGTCTAAAAAATTAAATACGGTATAAAATTAAAGCATTTGATCTATAGTAAGAAAAATTTTAATTTATTTTATTCAGCAGAGCTTAGTTTACTTATTCAGACTTAAAATACCAACTGTGACTACAATATTATTAAACTTACCTTGAGAACATATTTTCCATTTTCTTTTCCATTAAAACATTTTCATCGGAATTTTGCTCTAACATGATTTCACAGAACATTTTTTTCGCACATGGTGTATTCCTCCAATTTGTTGAACGAATACGTTCCTCTAAACCAACTGTTTTAGTTTTTGGTATTTCTTCTTCAATATCTTGTAATATAATGCCTAAATCATCAGGTCGATCACTTAAAGAACGTTTACCTCGACTATTATGCCTGTGTATATTTATATTATTATTTTGCATAGATGAAGGCGATGATAATGATGATGATGAAGATGATGGTAACATAACATCAATAACCGCAATATCACTACCATCAAAATTTCTTCTATGATTTGATTCAGTACGTGCTTGTCTATCATTTTCCTCTACTAAAATTACCATATCATCACTATGTTGCGGATTGTATGGATTATATGGATATTGAAAATTTCTTTTATGTTCAGGATTAACATATGTGGTTGTACCATCTTCGGATCTTTTTAATAAATTTGTATCGAAATATTTACCAACAGCCATAGCTCCAATACCTAGAGCAGCACCACTAGCCATTAAACCTAAGGCTGGTAAAAGAGCTGGTGAAGCACCAGCTGTAACAACACCAACTTTATTTTGTGCATATTGAACTGGTTCCTTTGAAAATCCTAAATTCTTAGAAATTTTTTGACCAGCTTCAACTATAGGTTGAAAAACAGGTCGTGCTAATGCTTCAACTGAAGTGATTCCTGTTTGAAATGTATCACGCATTTGTTCAGTTAATTTCATCCAAAGTGGTTGTTCTTTTACTCTTTTCAATGTTCCATAATTGTAAGGGTATGTAGAGGCACGTTTCAATTCATATGAATCATAATAATTTATATTATTGGGGTAAGAATTTCGATAATATTCTTGGCTATTTAAGGTTTGTTCAATTGGATAATGTTTATCTTTTTTCGGAAGGATTGGCTGCCCTTTAATGTAGTATTGTGCTTTTTTTGGTGGTTTATCTTTTTTCGTTTCTTTAACCGGTGGAGCACGTGCTGGTTGAATACCTAAGTCAGGGTGTGCATAATATGATACCGGAGCTCTAAGATTCTCACCAACATCATCGATTTTTTCTTCTTCTGGATAATCATTCATGCTATTCAACATTCTACGTTGAATTCTTTGTGGTTCTCTAAGCAATTCATCAGGTGTAGTTCTACGTACAAAGTAATCACGATGAGCATGTTGTTCGTTAATTTGCTTAATGTAATCAATTAAACGTGATCCTGAATTTCTTCCTGTATTATCTTTAACAAAATATGGCCCTCCTTCGAAATTATTTCTATATTCACGACCATTTCTATTATCATCTACAGTAAATGGACCAAAATTTTTATTTTCAGATTTTGAAGATTCTCTTTCAAAGTTATCAAATTTTGTAAATGGGCCAAAATTTCTACCTTCTGATTGTCTCGTTCTTCTGGCCATATTATCATTATAAAACAGTAATTCTCCTAATGCTAAGGATGAAGGGCGTTCTGCTTTTGGTGGTACATAACCATTTTCATATGGTACTAGTTCGCCTTTAATAACCCTTGCATTTCGCCAAACTTTACGTTTATCTTCTTCATCATCTGGTACACGAACACCTTCTATAACTGGTATTCCATCACTGTCGACATGTACTAAAGAACGTGCCCGCTTAGTTGATTTCATTGGTGAATCTTTAACATAATAGGGATCGGAACGAATAATTGTCGGTTCCGGAAGTCTTAAATTTTCATTGTAAATTTTTGGTGTTGCAAGTTTTATATTAACTGGTTGCCTATCATTCTTCAATGAAGCCATACGATCATTATTACCCTTTTCCATTTTTTCAATATGTTCTATAAATGAATTAATAACTTCGGCAGATTTTTGATTTGTTGGTTGTGCGAAACGAACATTTGATGGAGGTAAAGGATTCCATTTACCATAATCAGGTTTAACACGAAATGTCGTCTCACCATAATTTGGACTAACTGATGATGCACTTGAAACAACAACTGGAGCTGGAATTCCTATTTGTTCTAACTTTTGTGGTTGATCAATGTGGCTGTCATCACTTTTGTTTCTTAAAAGATTATTTTCTGGGGTTTTTTTCACAATATTATGTTGTTCCTTTAATGATGATGAAGAAGATTGTGATGATGGAAAATTTATAGCACTACTTTGATTACCACGACGTTTTTTAACAATAATTGAAGCATAACCTCCCGTATTTGATTTAACATTAATAGTTTCTGTTTGATCTGGATCTAAACTTCTTGATACTTTTAATTGTGTACGTATTAATGATGGTTGATAAACTTTTGAACCACGTGATCTTGTTGGTGTTGGTGAAGTTGTAACTGAATTTTTTGTTACTGTTTTTTGAATATTACCATTTGTACTTTCATTATTTACCTCAATAGCAAATGTCAATGGTAATGAGATTGAAATTAATACCGTTATTGCTAGTAAAAGCGTAAAAAAAGCTTTACTTGTTTTTACCTTATGGCATTTATAGCCAACCGGTAACATTGATTCAAAAACTTTCATTGTGAATTTATTTAATTTTATTGTCAGTGCAGTAATGGTTGTAGTATTTGTAGTCAATGACGTCATAAAATTTTAATTCTCTTTCTTTGATATTTTCTTTAAATAAACTGTTGTTATCGTTATTGTTGCTGCTGCTTGATATTAAAATTTTTTAATATTATTTTGACTACATTCACAATTTTTAGTTATTAACCTGGTGTGTACTGAGATGGTTAATATTTCTGCGCCTGTTTATTTTGATTTTAGTATTTTGTTGTTGTTGCTTTAATTCTTGTTTGCAGTCTTTCTCTTTCTGTATACTTCATGTGTGATGTATGAGTCGAGGATGAAATTTCAAAACCAAAGCATGCAATACTCGTTGAATACTTTAATGAATATTGTTTACAGACTGCAAAAACAAAAAAAAGAAAATGAAAAATAAGAAAAAATGAAAATAAATTAAAAGAGAGATCAAATCACCTGAAAGAAAGTGAAATTTTTCTTTGATTTTCTTATGTTATTTTTATTGTTATTACTAATATTTTTTATATAGAGAAAAATTGTAACTGTGTTAAATGGCTGTGCATAATTATAGGTTTTTTTCTTAAATGTTATATTTTGTATACTCGCATACATAACAACAATTGTCTAATTTTAACTAGATATACGAGTATTATCATATCAAATAAATTAAATATAGACGATATTGTATTACAAAGGTTAAAAAATTTACATAAATACAAAAGTACAAAATTTCATTTATGTAGATTTTTTTTTCTTGTAAATAATATGTTTTGTATTTTAAAAATTTTAAAATTAATAAATTGTAAAAATGCATTTATGCATAATATTTTGTTATAGGGTAATTGTATAGGGTATCGAACGTGTGCGCCTGTCTGATGAAGTAGATTTGTTGAGTTGTTGTAGTAATTGCATATTTTTCGATGCGCTTTTAAAATACACCAAATTTATTATTTTTGAGAAAATATTCTGAAAAGAAATCGGTTGAGTTTCAGTCAGGTCTAATATTTTTAAAACTAGACTGCGATAGAACTAAAAGTATTAGTATTCCCAAAAAAAATTCCGTTTGCAACAAATGTCAAAACAACAAGGCCAAATTGGTCAAATGATAAATCAGCATACTATTGTCGAAAAGTGATATTAATTTTTTACTGTAAATTCTGTGACAAACTAAAACGGACTGTTTTCAATCGTACGGTGACAAAAACGGGCAGTTCTAACTTAGAATTTTAAACAGAAATTCAACCATTCTTCAATTCAATTGATTCAATCCAGAGTGGAAAAGTCCATTTATCATAAGTAATTCTTGAAGAGTGCTGAGTATGTCCTATAGAATGTTTCAATTCATTGATTAAATCATTGAGTCATAGGGTTTCACACATAATTCTTAATATTCTTTTGTTGAAAAATAAAATACACATACATATGTATGTACATATGTATGTATGGATACGAAAACATCTCATCGGAAAGGAAAAATATAAATAATTTCTTCTAATTCAATATTAAGAATATTATACTTTAGAATAGCTGAAACTTCTCGAATTTCTATAAAATTCAATTCAATTCAATTATTTACAAATAAAAAATTTTGAATGAAATTGACAATTAAATTCTGACGTTTTGTTTTCAATATTTTAATGACAATTGAAATTTTGAAAATTTTTAATTAAAATATTAAGAAATAGGAAAAGTAGGCGTTTAAAAATGGAAATTTATTAAAATTATTTTTATAATTTTGTTTTTATTAATTTATGAGTTTTCAAGAAAAACTTGTTAAGTTTATTGCTTCAAAATACTATTGTAATATATGGGTTTTCACTCAGTGATGCATTGTTGCAAAATCAAAAGGAAAACAAAATTTTTTCTCAAATTGCTGAATGGCTGAAAGAAATTTTCGACATATAATTGTAGAAAATTGGCAATCATGAGTTTTATCATCAAACTGAAATTTAAGCTTGCAGCTCGGAAAGCAATTAGTTTACAAGCAACTAAAAAAAATTTGAAAGACTTAAATTTGAAGTTATAACAATTTCTGAATAAAAGCCAAATAAATGCAACTCTTTACTGCACGTTTGCCTATAAGTCAAATATAAAGAAGTCGAAATAAAGAAGAATTTGTATCAAAACTTAGAACTACATATGTATAAAATTTTTCGATTTATTAAAATTTTTTCATATTGTGTGTATATAACCATAGATGATTATATTTGATCGTATTTAATCCATTAATGAAAAAAATTCGCGTACGTATGTTACGCATAACAATAAAATTTAAAATGATTCATTGGAAAATCGCCCATCTGCTATAATGAATCACAATTACTACAAAGTTTGTAAAGATGAAATGGAAACAGATGGAAACACTTTTATGGAAATGATTATGTACCGTATAAATAAGCATGCACACACATATTACGTACAAAGTAGATTAATAAGCAAAAAATAAATCTAAAAGGAAAGCAAAACCAGTTGGATGGAAAAAAAAAATTATGATAAAAAAAACAAATGTAAAAAGAAAGAGAGGGTTAACAATGAAATTGTGATGGCATAAAAATACCTAAAAGTTTTTTTTTTTTTGTAACTGCGCGAATGACTAAATAGATGGCATAACATTTTTTTTTATTAAATTGTTATCATTATTATAAATGTACATAAATGTATGATTGTATGTGTGAATGTCTGATCATATTCATGTAAGAGTCTATTAAATATGTTATGTATGTGCACATACACATATGAACACGTGTTTTGGACACAATTTATGACTAAGAATAACAGTAACAAAATTTTAGTTACGAATTTCTTTCTTTCTTTCTTTCTTTCTCTTTTATTAATCGTGACTCTTTTTTCTTTTGATTTTGTCCGTTTGTTTGTTTGTTTGTAAGAGGAAGGTTGCGCAATAGAAAAAGTTTATCGATCCAAAGTGATGTCAATTTAAATTTTTTTTTTTTAATTTTTGTTTACAATTTTTTTTACTTATTTTATCTTTTCTGATTTTATTTTTTTGAAAATTTTATAACTTTTAAAGATTAAGGCTTAGTTAGTTTATTTAGTTAAAATTATAAAATCTTTGTAAAAAAAAAAAAACAATTTATTTTTTGTTATTACATAGGAAATGGGGGGTTTTTTTTTAGTTATAAGTAATTATTTTGGTAAGAAATACTAAAAAAAATTCACAGACCATAAGTTGAAAATTTTAAAGAGATGTGAACAAAAAAAAATATTTTTTTTTTAATTTTTGCAAATATTTAAAATTAAAAAAAAATTTCTTTGGCATGACAGTAAATTCATTTGAATTTTGGAAAAATAGAAAGAAATTTTACAATGTCTGTGTGTGTATGTAATGTACTAATTGTATGGGACGCAAATATCTAGATTTAATAACGTAGTAGTGAATTGGAAATTTCAATTTCTCTCTATTATTTAATCCTTTTTTAGAGTATCTGATTAAATTTTTATATAAAAATTTTATCTGAAATCAGTATATGGTTTTGCTTTTGAAACTATAAAAGATGCCAATGTAAAAGTAAAATTAAATAACAATTTACTTAATCATATTACACACCCACTCTTAAGGTTATACGTATACCTCTTCTATATAGGTATGTTGTATATTACTTTTATGTTCGAAATGTAGTAATTTTAAATAAATGTAATACATATATACATACATATGTTTAATTATTTTTATTGGTGAAGAATTCAGAAAAAATTGATGTGAACAGTGCGGAAGGCCATTTAGCATTAAGTCATTTTTATATATTTCAATGAGAAAAATTAAACTGTGAAAAATAGAAATCGATTCTCAATTAAATTTAAGTTTATTTTAGCACTAAGGTCTTAGAAAACTAAATTTAAATTTCAAAGGACTTTCATGTTTTAGATAGTTTCATTTATAATATTGTTTTGGCACTTTAAAATCTAAGATAATCTAAGTCTGGTTAACGATTAAAAAATTTAAGATTAACGATAAAGCATGATGATTATTTACATATCAAATTGAAACTATATGATATCTCTCACATGTTACGTCAAAATTATAATAATTTTGCTGCAAACCAAAATAAAAATCTGATGTGATCAACACATATTCGTAATCGATTCCAATGTGTATTGCCCATTTTAGTGAAAGTCTTACAGAAGATTATGAAAATACATTTTGTACACTTCCTTTTGATTTCAAGGAAGTTAGCGAGTTTTTAGTTAACATACCTAGAAAAATGTAAATTTGGCTCGTAGTAGAATTTCACTTTGTGTCACCCGAATTCAATAAAAAGCTCACTAATTAGTCAAGGTTAGTTCAGTAACAACCAGAACTCAGCTATGAAATTTCTTGTTTCAAAATTATCTATTTTGATATTCTATCAATCCGATCCGTGGATTCCCAAAAAATTTTTAAATTCATTGTTTCAATACCCCGAATTTAAATATTAAATTTCAAGGAAATTGTTTGAATATTTCTCTTAATATACACAAAAAATGTAAAATCGGCCCGCACTTCATGAAGTCTTATGTATCTCAAAGGTTGATCAATCTGTGCCATAGCCAAAATAAATTCACATATGTTATAAAAATTCATCAAAATCGTACCTAAATTTCAGCCGAACTTTAGGTACACATACACACACAGACCGACAGACAAACAGACCGACATACCGACATTTCTTTAGTTTATTTACGCTTCCCTATTATGGAGAAGTGCGTTCCTACCGAAAACTCTTACATCCAAAATTTGGTGCCATCACATAACCTACTGAATTGTATACAATGCGGTTGGTAAAATTTAGCTACCAGATTATTGTCATCATTTTATTTTTAAAAAATCTGACAATTAGTCTATTGAGAATAGAATTAATTTCTATATTTACCGTCCGACAAAGTGTAATGTCAAACAAGGTTTTACATAGACAACTTTCATTTTAGCATAGTTTATAACGTAGATTTCATCGTATATATATCATAACAGTAAATAAAATCATTGTAAATTTTTTTTTCATATTATTAGAGAACGTTTTGACTGCTCTAAATCTGACAGATTCAACTTCTGACAATTACAATGAAATAATTACAATTCTGCCTCTAAAGGTATGCTATATAATTTTGTTTTTAATTTTTACTTAATACTGTAATATTTTGTTTGTTTTGTAAGAAACTAAAGACTACAGTACCACGTTTTTAAAACAATAGACGTCCTGACATGTATTCAACCCTCATTGCTAACAAAAATTCATATAGAGACCAAACCATTATCTTGTATATAAAATAATTACGTAAATAATACAAGCGTATGTACGTATGTATTTTTGTAATATATTGTTTTTTCATTATCTTGGCTTAATAATTCAGATAAACAGTGAAATTAAATAAAATTAAATTGCAATTTAT